TTGGACCTTTGTTCTCACGTCATCACTGTAATAATGCTTAATATTAAATTATTCTAGAATTTCTCTGTGCTGCTGAGAATTTTGTGTCTCCTGCTTGTCCACCAAAGTCATAGGTAAATGACTAAAGCAATCTTGGATATATGATGAAGTCCTAGATCGCTGTGACTGAGTCACTAGTATAAAGGGTATGGTTCTTCAGTAAGGTACCAAGTGGAGGAGGCAGACATCCTAGTCCTCTTCTCTTCCTCCTCTGAAAAACTCTCACTTGCATCAAATAAAGGAGCTTTCTGGTACTGTTCTGACACAACCTTTGATCAGTCTTTCCACAATAAGGTATGCAACCTAAAGAGGTTGGAATGAGCTGCAGTTTTTTAGTATGGCCCTTCTGTCCTTCCTTCTCTCACCTCTAAAACAAGAAACTTCTTAATGAACAGTCACTGGAAATGCCTATTTAAAATACAAATGTTAGGGTCTGTAAATAGTAGGATTAGTGCTTGCAAAACGTGAACCCCACTGTCTGGGGTGTTTGATACATGGTTCTGGAAATGACATACTGGAAACTAAAAATTATTCGGGTTAGAAAGTGTTACCTAAGTGGCCTGCATATTCACCGTAGCTAAGCAAGGAGATATGCTGCATGAAATATTACATACCTCCTTTTAGTATCTGAGATACTTAACTGACACTTCCTTTTTTTGCTCAGTTTTTTTTCTGGGTACTTAATATTGTGATATTGCACTGTCACATCATCTGCCAAGACTCCTCAGTCTAAAGGCAAGAACCTTTCCCTCTTATAAAAAAAACCAAGGAAACTGTTTCACTGAAAAGCAAATAGAGCCATAATAGCAGATTTCTGGAAATCTAGGAGGGCCCTGGGGGACAGCTGAGGATATCGGTGTCCTGTATACATTTCTGTGCAGGCAGTATTCTCTACTAGACAGTGCAATCCAGTGAATATAGATGTAGCACTAAGAGTCAACAGGTTCTGTTAGCTTTATGTTTCTCTTTCATTGTTTGTTTCTGCAACCCATGTGCCTTTGGACAGGAAAGATTTTCCAAAATATTTGTTCAAACAATGTCATCCAATTATTTATGTAGAAGCTTTCATAATCCATTATTTTTCCTGCAGAAGCTCATTGTATTTACATGGCAAGAACTTGCCTGGCAAGTGCCATTTTCAATCAATTTATTTTAAAGGACAGAACCTTGCAGACATTCTAATTTTGGCTTAATAGCTTACTTGCATTCTTGATAAATGAGTTTCTGGCTGTCTAAGCCAAAGAAAAACAAGCCATTTAAAATCTAGTTTAATTAAGCTAGTTAAAAGTCATTTGGCCTACACTGATAACATTTGTGTCAAACAGTCCAGGGACAATCAGAACGGTTCTCACATGCCCTGTACTGGTGATGGGTCCCTGGATTACACGCTTATATGGCTGTATATGAGTGTAACTGACTGAAAAGTCAGGCTCCTTGTTTTGTGAAAACATCTTGACTGCTTCTTTGTGTATTGTCACACTTTTGTTTCTGTGGCTGGAATTATTTTTGGATTTTGTAATACTGAGTTTTGTGTCACTGTATGGAAGTTACAACAGTTGCTTGTCACAAAAACCCACCTCAGACTCCACTGTAACTGCCTTTCTCCTTTATAGCCTAAATACATGTCTAAGTGACAGACTGAGTTTTGTGTCTACACTGATATACAGTATGCAGTTTAAACCTTGGAATATTCACTAGGATGGAATCGGGTAAATTTACTGCAGAGGCATAGCTTGCTTTTAAGCCACCAGATTTGCCTGCTGTCAGAGTTTTACTTTTGTTTTGCTGGTCTGGCTGTCTAATTGAGTAAGAGCTATAATTTCTGGGATAAACGTAGGAAAGAAAATACACAGAATCCATAGAGATCTGGGGGAATCTTCTGTTCTCATTCCAGCTCCCTCCAAACCTCCCTTTACAAGCTTCCCCATTAGTCCTTCTTTACACTGGAGGTACCCTACTGCATGTCCTACTCTTCTCCTCCAAAAGCAGGTAAACTTCATATGCATATGTTTTAACTCATATCTACTTCTAGAGATGCAGAGTGCTAAGGATGAGAAGTCTCTTCTGCCTCACTCAGTGTCTGCAGCACAACCCAACAACACACCATGGGATAGTGAAACCCTGCTTGCTCTGCCAGCTGTTCTCATCTGGCATTGTTCTTTACTCATATAATCCAGGATAAATGCTGAGAATGGATTATTGATACCTTGAGGCTGCAGGCCAGGAACATTGATTAAGCACTGGAAAATAAACAAACCAGCTTCTAGAAATTGGGGCAATGATTTAGAAGGAAAATAATGCCCTGGCTGTGTCCTGTTGTTGGAACAAAAAGAGGCATGAGAGGAAAGAATGTTTTATTTTTCAGTAACATAGGCAACAACTTCCTGCATTTGATAATGTTTTTAATTTAGCCTCCAAGATAGCATGCAAGTCCAGGAAGATTTGTTACCTAGTCTGAAACAATTAGTGTGTTATTCATCTGTCATGTTTTATGAAGAAAGCGTGAGCTGAGCACAAAGATCTCCCTGTTCTCTTCTCCAAGGCATAACTTCATAAAAATTTCTTTTGGAAGAATTGACCTAGGAAATATTTTAATTCAAAACAAGAACAAATGTAAAGCATCATGAAATTAGTCCTATCGAGACTGTTGAAATGATTCAGAAATCTGATGTAGGGTGAAAACGAGTAGCTGAGTAAATCCAAATTGATACAGTTTTGGTAGGTAAAGTTCAAATAGTCAAGGATTTTTTGACAGAAAAAGGACATTTAGGACAAAAGAAGAGTGAATAGATTTGACCTGTGAATAAAAATATCTTCTACCCTGTTGCTTAAAACTAAATCAAAAATATAAGAACAAAAGAAGTCAAGGGGACAATGAACAATTTCAGTACATTTGCAAATACTGGAAACTCCCATGTTCCCAAGCACAAGGTCGCCCACCCCACCCCTGTGCAATTATAAAGTCTGCTCATGGCAGTGTGTCACTCAACACCACAAAAAGCAAGTGGAGAATTAGTAATGGTAAAGCTACAGGTGAACAAGTTTACAAGTATCACTGAAACAGATGGATCCTTTGATTGTATGAAGGCTACTGGTTCAATGACCTTTGAGAGACCAGCAGTTACTGTTGCCATGCTTTTGAAATGGAGGCCTTTCTGCAGAATCCAATGGGTAATTGCATACCTTGTATGGAACAAATTATTGCAATTTAAGAATAAAGTACTTGATCCTGCTCCCAATGATGTCAATAGGAAAACATCACTTAAAACATGATTCCACAGTGTGGAAATGTTGTTTCAGAAACAAGGACTGACCTCAGCCTTTCGTGTGTGGTTTTCTGAAGATTCTTGGGTTTAGGACTATAATATGTCTCTCGTTTATTACAAATGTTCACCAGAATGCATTTAGTAAAAGTCTGGTGAATGACGTCTACCCAACGTCAGTATTTATTGTATGCTTTATTCCAAGAGATGCTACCATTTTTTTCCTACAAAGTAGGAAACATTTTTTTGTCCTGTTAAACCCTAAGGCTAAGAGAGCAGCCCTACAGGGAGAAAAAAAAAAAAAAAGAAAAAGAATGAAGAAAAGAAGCTGTTTTTAGGCCACTACACACTGAGCAGTTGTGCATGCTATGCAAGGGTACTCCTCAAGTCCACATTTGTAACAGTTTGCAGGACAGATAATCACTGTTGCCAGGATTGGTACCACTAAATGGAAAATGGTTTTGAAAATTGCTCTATCCTGGGCAGCATAACCCCTACATGATTCAAAGGTTTAAGTGTAGTTATGTCCCAGGCTGTTTTATAAGCAGATGGGTAAATAAATACTACATAGCAAAGCAATCTAGCAAAATCCAGTATAATGACCATATTGAAGGTGTTACCAAGCCTGTTAAAAGAGGACATCCTAAATAATGCATGAGTGACTTTCAACAACCTTTTTGTATCCACATGAAACTGTCAGTCATCATTTGACCTCAAATATGTAACCGAGGTGTTTACAGTTGTTCCAGAATATTAAGCTGTTAGAAGTGACACTCACCCATCTCCAGTCACTAGCTCAGACCTCATGACAAAGGAATTGTTTTGAAAAGCTCCTCACAAATTATGGTCATACCCTCAATGGTCAGACAGATGGTTTGCAGTAGTTAGGCAATGAAAACTGCCAGCAATATGTTCACAAAATAAATCTTATTGTGTCTTCTGTCATTCAAACAGATCTGTGTCAACCTTGGGAAAAGGGCAGCTGGGAATATTATGGTTTATTTACATTTTATTTGGTCATCTCATGAGTGACTTGTATTTTCCATAGCAGAATTAATGTGTAACAAATAAAACATCCTGGGCACTATTCTTAATCTTCACAAACCCAGATGAACACTGTGAATGATGTTTAGCATTTCCAGCCTCCTGCTCTACAATATCATGGCGTTGTCTAATTTCTCAATAATCCCATTTTATGCAGTAGTTTCATCTCATCTCTATCATTCTTTGTTTTTTGCCATGGCCATTTCTCTTGGCCATCACTCTGCATTACTCTTTCAAATTTATTTTTCCATGGATCAAACCTCCTGGTTGAAAGGATGAGATAAATGAGGATATTTGAGCTGTTCGTGTTGTTTTTTGGGGAGCAAAAAACCGCAAAAACCACAGTGAGTCATGTTTTCTCATACACTAAAAAATACACACTCTCCTAATAAAATGGAAACTACATACAGAGATACATCATTTGCCTATAAAAGTGAGAAAACACTTTCTATTGAATGAAATTATGCATCTAAACCTCACTGGATTTGAAATTTCAGTTATTGGCTGTATTAGTATGTGTCAAAACAAAGTGGATTCAACATTTCTGTTCTCTAGATGTCAAAATTATTAGCACATTTGGAAAAATCTAAAATTTCATATTCTTAACAGTGCCAGCTTTTGTCAGATACCTGAAATTTCCTTCATGTGTTGCAGGTTGTCTTTGTCAGCTGGTGTAAAAGCTTCTGGGACTGTGGACTTGTGGCACTGGATGATGTATCATTGAGCCTGGGAAGCTGCCAGGCTGCTGGTAAGACCATGTATATTTGTCATCCAACAGTTGCTACCCCTTTTAGTAAGAGTTCATTGCATACCTTCATTTTCCAAGCTTGCCCTACAGCTGCCTTCATCCCACCGCGGTCTCTTTTCTTTTTCCAATAGGTATTGCATAAATTCTGTTTTTGCAGTAGCATATATACAGTGAGGACCAGTTTTTGTTCATAGGGATACCAGCTAACTCCTAATTGATTTCACTGAGTACGGTGCAGTTGTATATGGGTGAGCATTCCTTTAGGGGCATTGCAATTTTAAAAAACCCAACCAACCAAACAACAAAAACCAGTCCATCTGAGGGAAAAGTAGTTTTCAAATGGCTTTTAGGAAACCAGGAATGGACCCAAAAGCAATATTTTCCAAGCACAGCATTATACTTTTTAGTCCAGAAGTACAGTTGTGCAAGGCCAAGACACAGTCCCTTATCTGAGCCACAGTTCTCTAATGAAGACAGATGAGTCTAACTCTCCCTCCTGTAGTGGGAGGAACTGAATGTTTTTGAGCGAAACTACCCTCTGATATGCACAGGCTAACCTCTCTGAACTCATGCAAACTCCCTCTTCTGGGGCTTTTTGAGGTTTGACAATGCAACCATTGTATCCTAATTTGGAAATCATTCTCATGAGATGGGCACAATCTATAATCCCATTCTTTTTCGGAATAAAGTCATGCCTTTGAAATGATGATGAGGCTGATCTATCATGCCATTTATATTCCTATGTAATAATAACTTTTTAATGACTCTTTTGATTGGATTTCATGCATTCAGGCAGCTAACCATTAAGAACAGAGAGAAGTCACATGTATAAAACAAGATGCCATTTTTCTAAAGCATTTCCAACAGTTGCCTGTTTTACCTTTCTGTAGTTCCTAAGTAATCTGAAAATGGACCAAAGGTGCAGAACTGATACTTGAGTGTATAGTCGTTCTGAGACTTGTCACTGATGGCAGCAAAAAAATGCCTGAAAAAAGTATGTGAGGCATCAAGGCTTCCTCCTTTTCAAAAGGTGAAAGCAGGTCAGTGTCTACTCCTGAACTACAAATTCAGATTATAGCAGAAGAGCTGACAGAAGCTTCCTGGCAAGCACCTGAACTGTAAACTTTCTCTTTTCTGCATCATCTAACAGAATTGAAGTAATGAAAATACTCTAGTAATTGCAGCTCTGTGGTCTGTTTTATGCAATATTAGAATCTGATGTCAAGGGAACATAGGAGAACTAAATGTAGTGTTCGATTTCAGATCACGGAAACTCCAGTCTTTGACAAGACTCATTTAATATGCATGTTATACATGCTGGACCCCATGAAACTGCTTGGGGTGACACAGTAGTGAAGAAAATTACACTGGTAGAGCCCATTGCAGAGTAAGAGCTATGATGAGATAATAAACTGCACAAGATGTTTTAAAGAATATTAGCACATGTTAGTGAGCCAGACTAGGGCACAGATTTCCCCAAAGCTGTGAAGAAAATGAAATTAAATTTCATACATCAGTTTGAAGCAAGCTTTTTTAAGCTTCTGACTGCTGTAAGTATTGCTAGGTAGATATAAGTGATTTCAGTAGGTGAGTGAATGCAATATGCTACTCCTGCAATCTCTCCATATATGTGTCTCATATTTTTGCAGTTTTAAACAATGTCCTCTCATTATAGATCTATTACTGCCCAATCCCGGGGAGTGTACTTTTGAAAAAGATGAGTGTATGTTTACCCAGAAGAAGAGAGGCCGTGGGAGTTGGCACAGGAGGAGAGGCCCAACTCCCACTTCTTACACTGGACCAAAAGGAGATCACACTACTGGGGTAGGTGAGTTAAGCTCCACATTGAACTTTCAGAACAGAGATGGACAGTTAATCAAAAATACTTTGAAATTATAACCTAGAACACAGAGAAAGTTTTTATTGTTCTGCTCAGAACAGTTATTAATCAAATGAAGTAAACACATTTCTTAGGGACCCACAGCTGTATTTGAGAATGTGATGTTTCATCTGAATTATCTGCAGACCAGGTGGGTAATTCGGTCTTTGTGTCCTAAAGTAGCTCTTTCCTTTTGGAGGAAAAAGGACAGGATGACTCTCCAGACCCCACAGAAAAGCCTTCTTCCAAACCCATAGCTTACATGAATATTCCCTGAAACTAAAAGGCAAACAAGCGGTTGGGATCTCTTCTGCATGAACACCTTCCTGTTCAAACTTAGAAGAAAACTTGGATAATGAAAGAAGTCCCACAGACCCTTTGTCTTGAAAATCTGCTGCATAACCTCACTTGTGTAATTTGCAGTGTTTAGGCAAGTGGGGCTGCTACTAGCATGGGCGAATGCACAGAAAATTGCATCAGCAATGACTCCACACTGGGGGCAGTACCTGGTGACTTTTGGAAATTATTAACTGCATCACTGCATTGGGTGCTCATGTTCCTACAGAAGAGGACCTCAGTAACAACTCCACTGATTTCAGTATAATCTATTAAACTGTTCTAAGGCTTGTGAACTTTAAATGCATACATAGATTTAAATTGAGGCCTTTGGATTTGCCTCCTTCACAGTGGTTAGCATTCATTCAATAAGTTACAAAGTCAGTTGCAGACAAGGTGACTTATTCACAGTAGCCATGTATACAGTCTGTTAAAAATTTTAGCAAGATTACAAAAGCAGTTGGCCTGCTCAAAAGGCTCACCAAAAGCGATTATAATTCTGTCAACTGTGATTGAGTGTAAACTATGTTAAGCATTATCAAGCACAGTTATTTCAGCTGTGCACATGAAGACTCACTCTATGGAAGCTTAATTCAAGTTCCTCTGGAAAACTGTTTTGTTTCTAGTTAACAAAGTAACAAATGCTTTTAGTTAATAAAATAACAAATGTTTTGTCTTGGTTTTGATCTCTTTGTCTAAAAAGATGGCTTTGTGCACGTTCAGCAAAATCTCCCTTTCCTATCTCCTGGTAAAATTTCTGTAATAGCTGCATCCTGAGCAAGGTATGGAAATTGACTAGAGAGATGTAAATTCATGGTGTGTGGCACTGTATGGCAAAATCCTACATGTGGAATTGAGAATACGGATGGGAATGTTTCTCTTTGGCTTGAAATTTCAGATCACCAAGAAATTATGTTCTTCCATTGTTAATTCTAAATAGTGCTGATTCTGGATAGAAATATGGATAGCCTTCAGAGATAAGTAAGTTTTAAAGCTTAAAATTTCTCTTATGTGTTGTGAAATAAAAATGAGAGACATTACTTACAAATCTGACCATATTCTGACCAGATCTATTGGCTAAGTTATCTAAGTGGAAAATGTAGGCTATTTACAAGTAAAGAATATTTTCCCAATAATGATACTGTGGAATCACTTTCAAAAGGGAATATTGAAATTCTTGTCCCTTTTCCATTTAAAAATTAGATGACGTTAGAGTGAATTAGGTGACATACTGTATGTAAGTCTTTGTTACCTGTGCTGTCTAGTTCTTCTTCATCAACTAGATATGTGATCACCAGCTTTAAAATAAGTGAGAATTTCTCCTAAGTTTTTAAAAGTTCATTTGAGAATATTTATTTTGCAATGTAAGTGCGACTCTTGGAGAGGCACCTGTAGGCCATCTCTGTGTTGTCTCACAGACCCTTCTTTTTCTAAAAAATATAATCCAAAGGTATACATCATATTAAAGTTGCTGGTTGTTTTAGTAGGTAACCAAACTGAATTCCGTAAAAGGATTCAACTTTCAGGTTTGTTTGATGTTTCTTTTTTTTTCCTGGTTATTCCCTAGATAATATATTTTATTCTTCCTCTTTCAAATACTCTATATTCCAGCTCTTGAGTTTCCAAGGACAATAACTCTCTCCTTATAGTAAAAGCAACACTTAAGAGTTTATTGTCAAAAAAAGGAATGGGCTGTTAGAACAATGTTCTTGATTTCTAAGGCAGAAACTGACTTTAGACCTATTTTCAGTTTATGGTGATCACTATGTATTCTGAGATTTGAGACTGATAGCTCGACTTTAGAACTAGTGAAGCAAGAGAATCTTCTAAGCCTGGCCTGTGACAACAATGTTTATTCCTTATTTCACACATCACTTTGCAGCAAGATGTGCTGAGAAATACGTGGATTTGCATTTGCAAAACCAAGAGCTGATCTAGTCTTTCCAACAAGTTTATAATATGATTCAGGCCTTAGAACTAAAGGCAAGTTATTTTATTGTACTGTAGTATGAGCTCTAGGTTTTCATTTTTAACTCAAGGAACTTTTAAGCATAGTGAACATCAAAATCCTTGCAATGGCTTGCGCTAGGTTTGGTGTAAATACCAAACTACAACCAGGGTTAGAGGGGATGTCTTCATCAGGAGTTTGTGTAGATAGTAGGACTCTGAGTATCATGAGAGACACCCTGAGCATCCACCCACTGCTCTTGCCGCTCTCAGCTTTTCTCCTGCCTCACCAATCATCTGTAGGAATCCCCTCTCCCCCCAAGGACAGTCTCAGTGCCAGGGCTTGTGGTGGCAGAAGGGCAGCTTGCTTCCTCCAGCACCATAAAAAGGGAGTGGTGGGACTGCATGAAGAGCTGCTGCAAAATCTGAGTTCACTGCCTGCTGGCAGAGTGTACATCTCAAGACATAGAACTGCTGCCATATGCAGCAGATAGGACACGGGGACGCTCCTCAGTCTTCTGACACACCTCAGTTTGCGCAATTTGGAAATAAACGAAGGATGGTGATGGATTGGGGAGGAGGGGATTAATTTGCCTGCCACCAATTAATGACTAATTTTTCCACAGATCAGAGTTTATGACAATCTTTCATTCATTCAGGGATTCTAGAGAGTCTAGTTTTCCCGACTTGTGTCTTCACATCTTGATCACAGAAAGAAAAACATTATTGATGTCATATGTGATTTAAAAGAGGTATTTCAATTCATTTGCTTTGTTAATAGCATCAGCTCCAACCATTGCCTAAACTGTACCCTCCGATGTACATGCAACTGTCTCTGAATTCCAATTGTCAGAGCGCATTCCTGGTTTAAGAACAGCTATTATTTTTTCTTACTTTGTATTCCTTTCTGTTGTTATGTATTTCATCAGATATAAACAAGCTTGTAAGTGTTCTTATATTAGCATTCACAAATATTGCCATTATTATGCTACACAATTATTACAGTATCATAAATATTACAGTTCATAAATGTAAGTGTATGGCATAAAAATCTTTATTAAAATAGTTTCAATCATAGTTTTTTAGATAATGAGCATGTTGAGCATAATGAACATGCTGAAAGAATGTATTCTACTTCGCTAATATTTTCTTGTATAACTTTTTAAAGGATACTACATGTATATAGAGGCATCCAATATGGTCTATGGGCAGAGAGCATACCTAGTTTCAAGATCGCTAAGAGGAACGTCTGGAAAACAGTGCTTGACATTTTTCTATCACATGTATGGAGCTGGGACTGGATTATTAAGTGTTTATCTAAAAAAGGAAGGTGATGATGAAGAGATTCCTTTGTGGAGGAGGACAGGGGAACAAAGCATCTCATGGCTAAGGGGACTGATAGAATATGAAAGTGATAGAAACTACCAGGTAAGAAAAAAAACAAACAAAAAGCAGTCAAAATAGAATATTGAACTGAACTATGTGTTAGAATCCAAGTTTTGGGTTGTATAAAAAAAAATTAAAATGTTAAAATGTAGATAGCATTGAATGGACACCTGAATAAGCTGAAGTAATGTGTAATTTCTTACAAATGAAGATAGGGAGGGAATTTATAAAGACATTAATAGGTTGCAAGTACGAAAATAGTTCATTAATTCAAAATTTTTTTAAAAGTATTTAAATGCTGTTTTCCCATCATTTCCTGTCAGTAGTGGTAGTTTTTCTTTAGATCACTTGTGCAACTTCTTTTCCTTCAGCTGTTTAAAGCCCTGTCTATATTTGACATAAACACTAAGCTGTGATAAAATGTCTGCTTCTTGCAGGATGGTGTTTCTGAGGTGACACCAAAGGCAAGGGATGATGCAGAGCCAGAGCTCTGCTTTTGGTTTCAACAATGCCATCATTTCAGTATTGCCAGAGACAAAGCCTGCTTCACTTTCTTTATCAAAGAGGAAGATGAAATTGCTATTGACTGAAACAGCACCGGGCACAAAACTGCACTGATCACTAACCAAAGATATTGTGTGTTTCTTTAATCACTTTGCCTTAAGAGCCTGGAAGTCAATTAGGAAAAAAAGACACGTGTTACTGAAAAGCAAGTTTAGCTTCATCAGTAAGACTACAACATAATACTGTAATGCTTTTTTTCCCTCAAGTCTTGCTTGCATGTGGGCAACACACAGCAACACATTTCAGCTGAAAAACAAGACAAAAATGCCACACATCACTAGAGAAAATTTACCAGTGGTCTATAACACACAGCAATTTCTTAACAAATTGTGAGAACAAATTTGCTTCCTTTGGCATAGCACACACCCAAATTGTCCAACCAGGGCGATCAGTCCACTGGTGGAGCATAGAAGTTTCTTTCCAAGAAACAGGCTTTCAGGATTTTTTTTAGTTCTTCCTCCTCTGGGATTCATGAAAAGCTTTCTCTTACCTTTACAGATTATTTTTGAGGCAATCCGCGGTGTGTCAATGAGAAGTGACACTGCTATTGATGATATCCTATTCCAGGCAGGACCCTGTTTAGGTAAGTTTAAACATACTTTGTTTCTCTTAGGAGACATCTAGCAATTCACAGCTCTTTGTGTACTTAGATAGGTGATACTTCTTCCTTTGAATCCCCACTGAGTGGATCTGAATTTAGTATCATGCTGCTGGCTTAGTGCAGAATTTTTGTTTTCTAATAAGATGCGAGACCATCCCTAGAACGTGGACTAGCAAAGATGCTGTAACACTTTTTAAAAACTGTATGGCAGTCCCATTTAAATCCAGGATGGTAATTACATTCTGTCTTATGCATTCTTATGTATGATAAAAATACAAATAATTACAATATTTCCTCCTTCTTTGTATTCTAGAAGTGGAAGAAATTCAATTCTCAGCAGGCTATCCTGACAGCTTAAATGAAATTGAGTATTAAATACAGCCTGCTGAAAGGAATGAAGTGCCTACAAGATTTGTATGTGAGAAACTGCACAAACTCCCTATTTTAAAATATGTTTTAAGTAAATACTGGACTGGTTTGAATATGCACCAATGTATAGGAAGGACTCAGAGCACTCATGTTCCTCGCCTTTGCAATGAAACTATTGACTCAGGGCTTCTTAGACTATTGTCTTTTTTTAAAATATTTTTTCTCTTTTGCATGAGGTATCAGTTATTACATAAAGGCTTCCCATTTTGCACAGATCATTCATTTTAATGCTTTTTTTTGTTTTGTTTTGTTTTTAACCTTTCTGGTATATAGGTATATAAAAAGAGGAAAGTAAAGGGGCACAATTTAAATCCAATATCGTGTTACCTTAAATCTGCATTCAGTGAATGTTTTTTGTTGGGTACAGAATGGCTTTTTGTTAAGGAAATTATAAATATTTTGAAATAATAAAGAAAATAGTATTAGCTACTAGTATTAGCCTACAGGTTAAGTGCAATTATTCATGATGACAAATCTCTCTGGGAAACTCTTAACACTCTGTTGGCAATTTTTTGTGGCTTTATGTTCTTTTACTATAACAAATATGTTCGTTGTCCTTGCCAATAACAAACTCACTTTTAGTGTTCCAGTATAGTTCAGTGCAAGCTGCTGACATTTTGAACTATATTAAATTAAACCCTTTGAAACCATATGTTTTCTGGCATACGAGTCTTGTTTGTTTTCTTTTTTTTTAATAAATCAGTTTGTACACTCACAGAGAATGTACTTACCCTTTTCCAAACCACAGATGGCTTGCATTTATATTAATAGGAAAATGAATTCACACAACTTGTTACTTTTTAAGATTTTATATGTTTGTTTGTAAGGTTTTGTTTTGAAATTATTATAACTTCCTAATAAAATGTAACTTTGAAATCATCTTGTTGCTGTGCTCTAGACTTTATAGTTATTAGTGTAATGAAAAAAACCTGAACCTAATATAATAGCCTGAATTCAGTATTTTCAATACAAAGAGAATGAAATGTGTGTGTTGCATCACCTGAGACAGCTGACAGAAAGCAGGAAGCTCCTGTATTGAGCCATAGAAATTATTCTTACAGCCACTCCATTCAAGCTGCTGCTGCAAGATTTGAACCCTGAAAAGTGGCAACAGCCTTTGCTCCTTTCAGAACAAAGTATACATTTTTCCTAACAGCCTGTAAGGTTCAACAGCACCTGGGACCATCTAGCCCCTTGCATCTTCAGTAAGTTTTCATTTTGGTGACACAAACAATTGAAGAGATTGTTCAATTAAATATATTCAGTACTAACGTGTTTATTTGACCACACAGATTGAAGCACTTTATTATTTCCTAGAGACTGCAGAAGAGCCAAAAGGAATTGACATCTTAACTGCCTATCCTAGCTGCCTACAGTCCCTGTTGGCAGCCTGTTATGAACGCACTACTCTTGCTATTATTCTCGAAATGAAAGCAACCAGAAACAATGGACTGTTTCCTAAGAGTCAATACAGTTTTACAATTGTTCTGTAAAGTGTATGCCTGGGTACCAACATTCAGATCAGAATGATCTGAATTCAGATCTTAGAATTATCTAAGCAGAAAACAAGTGAAAATGAAGTGGTTAAAATCATCAGGCTTAGTGGTTCTCCATACTTCTGATGGGACTTTTCTGTAAGTGAAATGAAGCACGAAGTATAACTATTGGATTCCTATCTCTAACAGTTTATGCAACTCTGCTTCACTCCGTCAAAGTAATCAGGTTTAGGCTGATATGAGTAAGAAAATAAGAAAAGTACGCTATCCTGCTCTCCATTGAGCATTCTCTAGGGACCTCACTGGTGTGATGATTTTGTTGGTATCACCAAGGGTGTGAAGAACTGTCCTGACCGCCAAGAGAGCCCAAGTTCTTCCTTTAGTAGGGAACAACAGCACCTTTCCACCCATTTCTGCTGCAGGAATTAAAGAACGGAAGGAGAATTTGAAAGGTGGCTTTAAATTACTTTAGTGCCTGCTGAATATCAGTTTATAGAATAGGAAATCCGCAGACTAGTGAAAGAATGGCTGCAAAACATCCGAAAACTAGGGAAGGTGCATTAAGATTTCTCCACTGGCAAACTTCACTTTTATGGTGAGATAAAAAAAAAATTCCATCAGCTCTGTCCACATAGGAAATTCCCTGTTTAACTAATTTCTTTTTATTTACTATTTGTTCTTCTCACTGCTGCAGTAGGTGTGCAGGGACTGCAGCAAGGCAAAGAACAGTTCCGAGACTTGCTATACTAGGCCTTTTTACTGTCTGAAAACTTCTTCAAAAGCTACTGGAGAATCTACAAGTAATTGTTTTGATCCCAGTTGTGGCACAGTCCATAAAGTGGAAATGAGAAAGAAACCTTCAAAAGCAGCTATAACACCCCAAACACTAACAGGCTTGTACTTGATTGCTCTAAATGTAGCTTTGTGCTGGAGTGGAATTGAACTTGTCCCAAGATCAGAGGAAAAGTCCTTTTAATGCCCTCTTGTTTAATACTCTCTTTATTCTTTAAATATTTTCCATTAGTTGACATTTTGTCATTATATAATAATTTCCAAAAAGAGGGCAAAATTCAGGTCTCCGTTACACCAATGGAAAACCAGAGTAACATCATGAAATACCATTCTTATTCTAGCTTTACGTTAATGTAAATGAAAGTGTATTCTGGCTGAGTATTGTGTCACACCAAAATAAACCTAACATAAATCCAACTTCACAGTCACAAAGCTTCACTAAGGTGGCTCAAGGTGAGCACTAAAAGACCTGGCATTTTATCTACCCGGATCTGAACACAGGTCACAAGCGTGACTGGCCACACTCAACAGACCCACTGTTCTGAAAGGACCACTGTGTAAGGAAAAAGGCTGAAGAGAGCAGGCTTTTCCTGCAACATGGCACACCAAGTTAAAAGGTTCTACCCCTCAGAGTTTGAAAAAGAAAACAGCTGTCTCATCCTACCTCAAACAAAATACTAGGTGTCAGATGTCAAATTTACTTTAACATTTCCTTTGGAAAAAATTTCAATTTGTGATTTCAATTTTCTTAGTTGCTTAAGTATGAATGAATAAGCTTTCAATGCTCCTTTACATTACTCCGATCTATATTCATCTTCTTGCTGTTTTCTTCCCATCCTTCCACTGCTGTTTTCCTGTCCACCTCCTGCACCTTTCTGTTTTTCCTGAATATGGTTTTTCTGAACAACAGTATTTTGGTCTCTTTCTTAGGCAACTGCATATTCTGCTATGTTCCTTTGCTCACTGCTAAGTACTGTGTTACATCTTGCTGCTCTTATGTCCTGTATCAGCTTTTACATCCTCACTCTCTTCTTTCAAGAACTCCTCTTGGTCCAAGCACTGCCTACTTCGCAGCCTTCACTGTCTCCTTTTTCCAGCTTTTACCAGCATCCATACTCACCAGATCCTGGAAAATACTTCCTCACAAACTCTGGGAAAAACAGATCTCTTCAGCAGTCTCCAGTGAAAATATGTTGAAATGGTTCCTTAATCTACCACATCCTTCTCTTTTGACTGGAAGTCACTGTTACTTAATGAGTCCAACTGTACCCTTTTTGTCTGCAAGCTTGAGGCTTAACTGACTTAGGAGACTACAACTTTTATTAAGTAAAACATCACCAACTAATAAATCAACTAATATTCTAATTAACTAATAGACACACCAGTGTTATTGATTTACAATTCTACAATTCTGCACTCTTACACAGCTAAAAACAAAGCTATTATCACAAAACAATTATCACAAATCTTATGAATGATATATTTTCAATTTTATTATCCTTTCCCATCCATATCACATAGTACCAGGGTGCATTTCTATACTTCTTTTTTCTGCTACACCAAGTCTTCTGGACAGCCACCTGGTGGACAGTCCAGTGGGTTATCCAAAGTGGGTGGCTGATCTCCTGGTGGGCTTGGACATCCAGGTCAGCTTCATTGCTATCTGTGGGCATCTGTACTCATACTGTTAGAGCAGAAGTCCCCTTCATTCCTTAATGGATCTTAATCTTTCTTCCCTCGTTTTTTCCCTGTATCTGGAACAACCTTTTCATTGCCCTCATAACTCCCTTTATATACCTAAATTCCCCTCAAACAACCAACCTGCCTTAAATTACTTTTCCTCACTGGTCCCAATTCAGCTACATCCATACCCAAAGATGCTGATGTCTTTACCATGGCAGTCTTGGTCTTTGCAGGGTATTACAGATACAGTTGCACAGGTACAGCTGGCCTCGCAAGCCTCCACATGCCAAGTACCTAGTTCATATTGGAAAAACGCTGTTTTCCTTGTGAACTTTCTAGGACACATCACTCTAGTTATGTGTCGATTCCTTTACCTAGTTCCACTTAAGCACAAGTAGCTTCTTATCTCTGTCTTTCAGCAGTCTTAATCAGCCTCCTGATCCCTCCTACCAGCTTTGGCTAGTTATGAGGCAAAAAAAAGAATTCTTGGTCTGACAGGAAAAAAAAAAGCATGTGGGAAAGGTAAGACATCTGCAGGAGTCTCAGTAACACTGGTGATTGCCGTGCAGTCAAAGTGCCAAAATCTCACACACAGGCATTCCTCTAGGATAATTTCCAAAGGACATCTATCCTTCTTGCAGACTTCCTGATCTCTGAAGCAACACACATATAAAATGTTTTCCCTGTTCTTTTGTTAAAAATTACGAAAAAGTAAGAAAAACCCAGACAGGTACTGGAATATGAAAACAAGAAGAGATCGTTCGCCCGGAACCCAAGCCTGTTCCCACAACGACAGGAGACCACCCGGAAGGCGCCCACCTCTGAAGCACCGGGCGCCCAACGGCTCGGCTGTGCTGCC